TTTTTTTTTTTACTTCTGTTTGCTGTCTTATGAAATAGCTTCGTGTTGTTCTCCATTATTTGATTAATTTCTTTTTAGGTTTTGGTCTCCAACAAATTTCATCTTTTAGGACCTTTCCATCGAGTAATTTTAAGATGACGTCCTTCAGTCCTTGAAGCTTCACTAATGTTCCTTGATTCTATTCGAAATGGCATTTAGCCTCCAAGGCCTATTATGAATAAAACAAGAAGTTCAGTACATGTCAGATAGAACTACCTCTGAATTGTAAATAGAATTCAGTGCATATTGAGACTAATGTATCACAATAACTGTATTTTTAATAGTATTATATGAATACTAACTTATTTACACTTTAAGGATTTTGGAAACTATAATATAAAGTTTAATTTGACGAGGGAGGTTAGTTTAATCTTTTGAAATGGGCAGAGGTTTATGTACAAGCGATTTTGTATAATTTAAATTTTAAAAAAATAGAATGATCCAAGTGGCTCTAACAAGTGTATGGGAAACTCTGAACCAAGTCTTTGAAGAATTGCAACCCCCCGGCCCCTCTCTCTCCCTCTCTCTCTATTCAAATCAGATTTGTCTTTGTGTGACATAGATCTCGGCATTTGCAGGTCAAAAGTGTAGAGCAAGAACACGATGCTGATGATGAAGGAGCAGCACTAACGGGTCAGATGGAATAGAAACATATAATTCTGTGCAAAACAGGCGTATTATATAAAGGTGAGCTCAAGAGGTATTTGGGGTGTGCAATTCCTGTACAGGAGCAAATAAAGTTATTATAGTTAATTTATTAAATGGTAGAGCATTATGGAGTTATTGGTGTAGGTAGTTGCATCATAAGAATTTTGAGCTTGTAAGAACACTGTATAACAAGGGGAAGGACGATTGATTTACTGTTACCACTTCAATTTTTTTGTTCATTAGAAGTCTACTTAATATTCACATTGTCCCTGTACTGCTAGTTATTTATTTGTTTTCCTATATTGTTGCGTTGCACCATGCTGGTCTGTTGTTATGAGATGAACTATTGAATCATTTTTTATTCGTTCCGGTGGCTTTAAATCTGTCCAATATGTGCGATGAATACCTTGACAAAGGGACCGAGTGATTTGAAAATTTTAAGCGAATCTGCCATTTTGTGCTGAAGCATGTGATTTGTTCCTTGAGAGGTCTTGCCTTGGTCTGATAGTTGTGAACAGCTTGCTGCTTCTCCTTACAGTTATGCTATTTGCTTGTTCATATTTATCACTTAGTCGCTCATTTGTTGACTGGTCGATTTTGGATCTAAGAAGGGAGGGCTGTTAAACAACAAAATAAAAAATAAAACTCTTGGTTAGTTTGTGTTGTTTTCCCTTTTTCTTTTTGGGCAAGTGTAAGCATTGGGCCTGGGTCATATGGGCAAAACTAGAAATGTGTTTTAAAGACAATTTCATAAGTTGTAAATTTTCTGAATTACCCTTGAAACAAGCGGCTAAATTGACAAAATGTGACAGTAGGATCTAATTGCAATTACTTGTTGAGTTAAAGGATGTAATTGCCTCAAAAAAAGTTTCGAGACTTAATTAAAATTCGAGGTAAAGTTCAGGGACCTCTACAATTAAAATCCCATATCTTTAATAATAGACTTTTAACTTCCCTTTTTAATCGACAAAAGCTTTTGTTTTTTCTGCGAAAATTTGGTTGTGTTGGGACTCAAAATCCTACATAGGAAAAATAAAATATCCTAGGGCGGTTTAAGAGCCCTTGAACACCCTTCCTTTATACATTGGTGTTTAGGAGCAAGTTCTACCTATGAGCTTTTATTAGGGTAAAATGAATACAACACGACTCATTTTTATTTATTTATCTCACTCATCATGTTACAAGGCTTACATGCCTTTTTCGGGGTATATACGAGTTTCTTTTGCCATGGTGATACGTGTGCTTGGCTGCGTGAGATAGTGCAGAATGAGTTAGCAAAACACTAATAAGATGGACCACAGGAATCCTAGGCTGTGGAGTGTAGAGGTGTACTTGGAATGTTTCTGGATGACTTGACATCAGCCCTTTGTGGAACTTAAATAAGGGCCCTCGAATCATCTAATATGAAAATATTATAAATATTCTTTTTATCGTGAATTGATGCCATAAACCAATAAAAGTAATGAATACAACTATCTTCCATGAAGGCATACGTGGCTTAGTGGTGTTGTGTGATAAAGTTGTTTGATGTCATGGGGTCAATTCTTATTGGTGCCATTTATGGAAATTTTTTGTTATTTTGAAAAGAATTGTTATAAAGAAAACACAAAAACACACAAGTGGTAATCAAACCAACACCCCTAACAAGTATAGAAAGGCGACAAAACTAGTTATGTTAGACACACAATTGTGTAAATATGTTGTGTGCTCATATATATATATATATATATACACACATAGGAAAAATTTGAAGACCCTAAAAAATTGGGGGCATGTTGTACACCATCAAGGCCGCCCATGATCACATGTACTTGGTAATTTTGTTGCTCGCATTTGTAATCCTTTTCCTTTTGGTGTGATGGACACATTGTCGGCATGGTCGATATTTCATGGATTTAAGATATAGTATTAATAAATAAATACTCGTATTGTAACATGACTAAACTAGTAATACCACGTGATGTAACAGTGTGACATACTCAATGAAATTTCTTTCATAAATTATGGGGGCTTTCTGTATTTTCTCCGAGCATGTTATAGATGAATCTTACAACTGAACTTAACACTAATGTTACCTATTTCCGGGTGCATACATTCCTCTGTAATCATACTTATTTCTACCCAACCCATGTTATGATGTGAAATATACAAAGCCCATGCCTACCCAACACATAAAAAAAATTAAAAGCAATCCACAAATCAAAGCAAAGCCAAGAAATATAAGCAGCCAACCCTTTCGGTTGTGCATAGCCGACAATCTCCACCTCCTATTTTCCTTGGCAGCTTTGGCAGTAACTTCTCTCTTTGGGCGGACAATAACTTCTCTCTTAGCAGCATCTTCTCCTATCTAAGGCAACAAGTATTCTTCTCATTCTCTCCTATTTAATTATCTTCTCCTATTGGGATTTTCCTCAAGTAAATGTATGCATCTCCTATTGGGGCGATGTAGAGAGTAACTGTTTGTTGTGATGTCCTTTGAGTTTGTGTTTTCATTGTGTGGGGGCTTTTTTGTTCTGACAACTACAGATGGGCTTGGGCTGCTATAAGGAGCAAATGGGTGGAATTTCCCTTGTGTCTAAGTTCAAGAATTAGGCCCCAAGAGTGCTTCGAAAGGTTTGTACAGTCTTAGGAAACACCTTGGCTTCCTTCACCAACAACACCAACAGTTGCTTTTAGATAAATATTTATGGCTTGTCATGAAGATCTTGTGGCATGGGAGCTGAGCATTCATGAGTTTAGCATCAGAGAAGGCTTGGGTTTCTTATGAGAAGCAGAGGCTCGAAGTAAGGGGGAAAAGGAATTTTGAGAGGATTTGTTGAGGGAAGAGAGGAAGAGATGAGGGAAGGAGAATGGGTGGCTTTAGCAAATTTCCGGCAGCTTGACGAAAGCTTCGTCAAGCTCTTGAGTGTTTTGCCAGAAGAGAAAAGGAGAAGCAATGGAAGAACAGGGCTCGAAATCGAAGGGTTCCAGAGGTGAGAGGTAATGCTTACTCTTTATGGATGTGTTTATAGGAGAGAGAGGAAAAAAGATGAAAGAACATAGCATGAAATTGAAACTTCTAGCAAAGAGTGAGAATGCTTGCTCGTTCTGGAAGAGTTGTGGGAGAGAGAGGAAGAAGATGGAAGAGCATGAAATTGAAGGGTTTCAGAGGGGATGCTTGCCTCCGATGAGTTATTTTGCTTGGTTGAAGGTGCCTCCTTTTATAGGCGATGGAAGCCCCCAATTTTATCAAATATTCTCCTCCATTTTTCTTCACTCTCTTCCATTCAATCCCCTTTGGTGAAATCTCCCCAACCCAAGCACATAGGAGCATAACTTTTTGGGGTTCCAAGACTTTCATGCAGCTGGATTCTTCCATCTGGGTGAGGCGCCTCTAGCTTTTCCTTCTTATTTTCCCACCAGAGCTTGTAGAGGAAAGAATGGGTAAGGGTGCTGGTCAAAAGGTGATTTACTTCCATCGGCACATGGGTTTGCTTGGTTTTGATGGTTTGGCTTTAATCTAGTTTTAACAAAGATGCTGGATATTTTCCACGATGTTGGGCTGGGCTATTTTCTAAGGTGTTGGGTAATTGGTATTTTGTTTCCAGCGGCCTGTGAGTTTGCCTTGGTTTCGTCAAGCTGCTGGAAACAGCTTATTTGCTCTGGTTTTGACAAGGTGCTCGATATTTTGGCTAATGTGGGATTTTTCCAAGTGTTGCAAGCCATTGGATATTTTCCTAAGCTATTGGGCCACCTTTTCTCTCTCATGCTTACTCATATGTTTGGGCTCAAGAAATGGGCTCGAGTTTTGGTGCTCCCAAGCTGCCCAAAACTTCCACTTCGTAACCTTCCATACCACAACCCGCTTAGCAAGTCCCAGCCATTTGCGTGGCTTGGGCCCACTGAAGCTTGTAGCATGGCTTGGTGCAAAACTAAGGATTTTTCGCTTGGTGTTGTATTGGGCCGAAAATATATTTGGGCCCAGCCTTGGATTTTTTTGGGCCTCAACACATTGATATACATCGCCTTCTATGCTTTAAGGAAATCACCACTCTTCCTCAGTTATGTCAACATTTGGTGGAAACAACTTGGTAAAAAACTACCGTTTGCTTTACAGGTTGATTCAGTTGGTGTTGACTCTTCATGTTTCTACAGCAACAACGGAGCCAACTTTTTCATAGAGAATTATTAAGAATCGACTTCGGAGCACCATAGCTGATGAATTCCTTGCTGATTGCATGATACTCCACATTGAAAAAGAGTTTGCTAATAGTATCAATAATGCAGAGATAATTGACGAATTTAAGATTTCTAAGAATCGTAGGGTAAAGTTTTAGATTTAAATAATCTAGTTTTGTGTTGCATTGCATTTACTTCTTGTTTTTTTTTTGGTTAAGTGTAAACCATGCGTCCTTCTCGCAGAGTAAATGGCTTGAACTTGGGTTAAGGTAGGGCTTATACTCAATCTTGTGGTAGAGATACCTCATGAGATTACCTACACACTTCGAACAGTTATCAAAATAGGAGCAAATTGGGGTTTATCCCAGTTGAACCCCTCCAATGGCTAAGTCAGAAGTAATTTAGAGGTGGATAGATGAATGTAGGTTTGTAAGGTGAGAATATTTATTACCTTTGTCCTGATATAGGTTAAGGGTATTTATAGGGGGAGAAGGAGAGATAAAGATCTTGAAGGAGGAGATATTTATCTCCCTTCCTCCTGGAGGGACAGGACTACATTAAATGACTTTTTCTGATCACCATGTTGTATGACAAGTATCAGGTGGCCAAGCGACACTTGGCTTCGGATGGGAGGCGCATTAATGGATCCCTCTCTATCACCAGGCTACTCATCAGGGATCAAATGGTAAAGAGACACCTGGCTTTGGATGTGAAGTACATTAACTGATCTCTTTCCATTGCCAGACTGTTGTATCAGACGGATGGAGTGACTGACTTGACAGGGGTTTGACCATGCCTGGTTAACATCAATGCGCCTCTGGTCACACACGACATCCCAGTGGTCGGGTAGGTGTTCGAATGCTCAATCATTAATTCACACTCTTTCCTAACGGGTTCGGCTAGGAGGCCTTTTATGGACACCAGGAGTAGTCCATCTAGTCGGGTCAATATAAGGGCAACCTCCCCCCCTATGTCCATGCGGTGCTCTCTAATAGGCTCGACTCACAGTGATGGTATAAGCCATTAACATTAAGCTCTTATTTATGTACATAGATGCATATTTGAGAATAAGGTTCATTACGTCCCCCAACTAGGTGTATCTTTTTATTTTTATGAATGAAATTCACTCATATCGCCGAGTTTTTAAGCAAAGCTTCACATACTTGACTTTTGAATCTGAATCCATGTGCTATAGGAAGAGGGGTGTATATACACTCGACCAGGGATATGAGAGTCCCTCTCTCCTAATGTGAAGCCCTGTTCTCTTGAATGATTTGTAAAGGCCTTTCGAATGAAAATTATGTGGGAGAGAGAGTGGTGGCTGACTCTGTGTGTGTGGGGCCTTGTTGGTGAATGTGTATTTGCCTCTTTTTCTATTTACTCTCTCAAATGTATATGCGATTTGTATTGGATATTGTCTTTGTGATCCACTCCTTTTCTATTGCTATTTTATCATTCCTTGCATAAATATATGCATGAAATGATGTATATGCTTTATTTAAAAAAGTGCGTCTTTTTTCTTTTTTTTTTCCTCTTTGATTGGCCATTTACTCTATTGTTTTCTTCTTCAATCATAGGAAAGAAAACTAATGTGAAAAAGACGTTGTCCGTTTTTCCCCGTTTTAGCCACACACAATTTTCGGTTGGTGGCTGACTGTAGTTGATTTTGTCCATCTGTTTCCTAGTTTCTAGGTAGTTAGGCCAAGGTGTGACAATGCTGTTCGTATTCGTTGTTTAATTTAAGGTTTATTAGCAGTTGTTAATAGTTCATTAGTACAAGATTAAGTATACTTTAGGATATAAATTTTAGGGATTATTATTTTAAGGTACAAAATCAATGTTTTAGAACTTTAAACTTAAGGTTTAGCTCAGAATTTCAATGGAAAGGAAAACTGGAGAACTAAACCCTAAGAACATCTACAATGGGCTCCTTAAACCACCTCAACAAATTTTATGGAGGAATTGGAAAAATAGAACTCTAATCATGCTCCCTATCCATCTCCTAAAATATGAGGACCTCTAGGAGCTCCTAAATATGAGGAGAGAGAAAGCACTCTTAGTGGCTTCCTATAATTTAATGCAGCTTTATTTTATGAGTATTTTAAACCTTTAATTGATACTAACTATTTTTTAATAGAGATTAGCCAATTAAAAAAGAGTTATACCATTTATGACTCCCTAAATTCGAGATGATTGGAATTCAAATTTTATAAAAAACTCCTAAAATAACTTTTATATATTTTTAGCTAAATTTTAACTAAAAAAATGAGTATTTTAAACCTTTAATTGATACTAACTATTTTTTAATAGAGATTGGCCAATTAAAAAAGAGTTATATCATTTATGACTCCTTAAACTCGAGATTATTGGAATTTAAATTTTATAAAAAGCTCCTAAAATAGCTTTTATATATTTTTAGCTAAATTTTAACTAAAAAATAAAGAGCATGATTATGAATGCTCTAAGATTTAGTGGGTCAACTTGAATTCAAAGTAAGTTGGACTCTTGTCCAAATTTAGCACGTGCAGTCTCAACAGTTACGGAGATTGTAGGTTCGAATTTCCCATCTCCCAATATTCCTCTTATGAAAAAGTACAAATTTGGGGAAAATGACACTAGCTTAGCCCATCCTAGTGCCCACAAAACACAAGCAAGCAAGCTCAAGCCACACGCCACCATGCGCACTCTCAAGCTCGCAGCAGCCCCGTTTAGCCGCCAAGATTGCTCTCTTCTTCTTCTTCTTCTTCACCTACCTTAGCTGCTTTCTCATTCTATAAATACATAAATATATATAGTTTTTCTGGAAGCTATATATTTATTTAGATATGGGTTGGATGGAGAGGATTTTGCTAGAGGTGAGGCCTTTGTTTCACTTGCTGTTGCCACTTTGTGTCCACTGGATCGCTGAGGAAATGACCGTCTCGGTCCTTGTTGATGTTACTGTTGCTGCTCTTTGCCCGTCGCAGTCAACTTGTTCTCAAGCCATTTATATTAATGGTATTCAACAAACGGTAAAACCCACTTCTTTTTTATTTTTTAAATTAAATAATTTTGATTACATGTTTCGATTTTTGAGGTTCAAATATGCACACAGTTATTCATATTATAATTTTATATTTTAAACTATGTATTGTGGACCATTTTTTATTTTTTTTATTTTTATTATATGCGGTTATTTTTCTTATAATTCATTGTCCTTATTTCTCCTGTTTGGAGTCAACTTCATCAGTACTGAAAGGTTTTAGTGGAGCCTCTTGTGTACTTTCCGTGATTGATGATAGAATTGTATTTTAGTGCTAACAGCTTGGATATTTCATAAATAATTCACCTTACGAAAGAAAAAGAAAAGAAGAAGTATGTTTAATAAATAAATGGCTTAATTAAACCTGCGCCCTTGGAAGTATGGTCACTTCGACTTCCGGGGCAAGGTGGGTCATTTTAACTTCCGGAGGCAATGTGGGATATTTGACCATACTTTCTGGGGCATTGGAGTAATTAAGCCTAAATAAATTACTGATCCCTACTCTTTGAGAAACATTTACATAGTAGTATGAAAAAAATTAAATGTCTAAACTTTCAACATACATGTTACTCTAGTCAAAACAGTACATATATGTTGCCATTATTTTTAGTATCTGTGCTCCTTTTGAATAGCAATTCTGGGTTTTGGCCGTCAGCAGCACCCAACATAATTAATACGTTTATCGCTTGGGTGATTGATTTACAGTCTCTCCACCTGCAGAAATGAAACAAAAAAGTAACCAGCTCTGAGAAATCAGCAATGTTTTATGTCACAATTGTTTTATGATGAAAAGTGACAATTATCTTGAATGGTATTATGATCTGCTGTATTTCATAGGTATAATTAATAATTTACCTGAAAGTTAAGTTTTTTAAAAAAAAACTGATGGTCTGACTTCTGCTTGAATGTTGCCGACATAGCTGCCTCTGTGCTCTTGTCAATGCTATTTACTAAGTTGAGTTAGAGCTTTTGTTGGGATGGTTAGATTCTGAATACTCAAGAATGGGACTAATACAGTAAGAACAGTGGGTAGCATTGAGGTTCTTTTGGTGTAATTTCATTGTCCAGAAGGAAGATGGTATGTTGTATGCACCCAGAGATAGTGAGATTAGATATTTCAGTAAAGTGGAGATTGTTTCATCAGAAGGATGTTCATCTTAATGACTCTAAATAACCATTGTTCTTGGGAACTATGATGATATTGACAATAAAGTGGGATTCTGAATTTTCTTCAATTTATGTATTCTTTCTTTTTGTGTAAAGCTAAGGTAGATCTTAGAACAAATTTTTTGCTTGCAGGTTGTTGGACTTTTCAGGGTGGTGATGCTTCCACTTCTAGGTCAACTGGCAGATGAGCGGGGGCGTAAGCCGCTGCTGCTTTTGACAGTGTCAACAACCATATTTCCTTTCGGTAGGTTATGTCCAAATATATATTCAGGAATATTCTGTGAAGTCACATATCTATCATGCTGTCAGTTTAGGTGCTTCTGTTAAGCCTTTCTTTTGGAAAAACAAAATAGAATTGAAGTTATACATCTGTCCTCCTTTTAATGAAAGATGGCAACAAACTCTGTGTGTAATTTCTGAAAGTTTCTGCCTAAGCCATTAAAAAGTAAGATATGATATACTAGCATGCCTAATTTATTGATATACTAGCATGCCTAATTTATTTTCTTTTATCTCCATGCTATTTTGATTGAATACATAATCTGATGGGTTTTGGTTGCAGCAATACTTGCCTGGAATCAATCTAAGGAATTTGTGTATGCTTACTATGTGATTGGAACCGTTTCATATATTCTAAGTCGGGGGAGTATTTTCTGCATCGCTGTTGCTTATGTGGTAAGTTTATTCTCACTGGTTGATAGCCATGGATAGGAAATGTAAGGAGTTCACACTTTTCATCCCCTTCTATTAGGCAGATGTTGTCAATGAGAATAAGAGGGCTGCAGTGTTTAGTTGGATCACAGGTCTTTTTTCTGCATCACATGTCTTGGGGAATGTTCTGGCACGCTTTCTTCCCGAGAAGTACATTTTCTCTGTAAGTTGAAGCAATAACTTGTCATATGTTAAGTTCATGTTTATCAGTTAACCTTTTACTAACCAAGCCTTTTGGTTTCAGGTATCAATCGCCCTGTTGATCTTTTGTCCAGTTTATATGCAAATGTTTTTGACTGAGACAACTAATAAACGGGCACCTGAAAGTGACCAAGATTTATCTTGTCTGACCAAGATAGTTACTATTATCCGTAAACGATATGCATCAATGAGAGATGCTGCAACAATAGTTGTTAGCAGGTAATGGATTCTAGTGGTTTTACTTCTGGATCTTTTTAGAATCTTTCCTTATTTGAATGAAAAAGAAAAATTTCTTCGTGCTTCCATGCATATTTAGAACAGTTAAATTGTGATTGTCTTGCTGAAGAGCTGCATTGTACTCTGCAGTCCAACACTCAGAAGCATTTCTTTGGTTTCCTTCTTCTATCACTTGGGAATGTCCGGCATCAGCTCTGTGTTGCTGGTATCTTTCCCCTTAAAACTTAATGAAGCCTGCACTTATAATCCTAGTTACCACAATCATGTTAAAAGAAGGATGTAAGCAAACATGCCTTTTCCTTGGAATGAAACAAGATGCTTATTCATTATACAACAAAATCTATAAAGCCACTGAGTAAAACAGGGTTTACCTATAATTATCGTATAGGTTCTGTTTACATTGTGTGGATTTTAAGCTATATAAGTGACACGGAACTGCAGATTTGTAAGAGCAGCAATATAAAAGTTCAGATGATCAATTGGAGTTTATTTATGTATGTAATAATACCAACATAACTTGCTTTCTGTTTGAATCATTTACTTAAAAGAAAATATGTTTTACTACTTGTGCAGTACTATCTGAAAGCAGCTTTTGGTTTTGACAAGAATCAATTCTCAGAGATCCTGATGATGGTGGGAATAGGTTCAATTTTCTCTCAGGTATATTCTTGTCCAAAACTTTTCTTTTTCCAAATTCCTGGTACTTGCTCCCAGTTTCTTTTCGTATTTCCGAAAATGAAGACTTAGATAGTTCTCTTATTAAGTTCATTCTAGTGTTTGTGGACAAAAATTTGGGACAAAATCAAATTTATCTCATTACTAGTAAAAAGCAGTGTGCCACTCACTATATTTAGCTGTTCTTCTTCAACCTTTTCTTTCCATACCATTAGAATTAACCGAAAAGAAAAGAGGATGAAGGAATTGTTAGTGTTCATGAAGTTCTATCCTTCAAAAATTTCCCCTTGAATTTCGTTGTAATTATGATTTCCCCTTGAATTTCTTTGTAATTATGTGTCACTTAATGTAAGTGTTTAACTATTTTACATTTTGGAAGATCTGTTGAATCCTCTGCTATTCTTCTGCATAACATATGTTTGGTTTTGGTGAGTTCCTTTCAGATATTGGTGCTTCCTTTAGTGAACCCATTGGTTGGTGAGAAGGTGATATTGAGCTCAGCCTTGTTGGGCTCAATAGCTTATGTAAGTCATTATCTTTAGCTTGTTCCCCAACCCAAACCACAGGGGAAGATGATAGAGAACAAAACAGAAAATCTAATGTTGCTTTTTTGCTGTACAGGCATTGCTCTATGGCTTGGCTTGGGCTCCTTGGGTAGGCATATTACCTTGTCAAGAAAGATGCCCAAGATTCACCTCCATTCTCTTCATTATTATTATTATTATAATTTTGCATTTAGTTAATTTTATGCTTTTACTTCAGTAGGCAAAAGAAAAAGGGAAATTTCCCTTAGTACCATAAATTAGAATGATTCTAGAGTAACGCAAAAAATTCGAAAATGCAGGTACCCTACTTAAGTGCCTCCTTTGGAGTCATCTACGTTCTTGTGAAACCTTCTGTAAGTACTATATATATTGAACTCCTTTGTTATTTCTGTGAAATTTTCTAATTTTGATGAACTTGTTATTGGAAGAAAAAAAATATAAATTGAATTTCAATTACTGGGGTTCAGGTAAGTACTTAATTGTGATGGTCTTTCTTTCCATGCTTCCATTGATTGAACTCTTGCTTTGCAGACTTTTGCAATTATTTCCAGAGCAACATGCTCAACCAATCAGGTGAGCAGAGCAGAGAGAATCATTATTCAATTTGTTTTTGTTTTGGTTTATCACACTTTCAAACAGTTGGGTATTTTTTCTTACACAACTGCTTTGTTGGATTGCATACAGGGAAAAGCACAAGGATTTATAGCTGGTGTGCAATCAATATCAACTCTGCTATCTCCAGTTGCCATTAGTCCATTGACATGTAAGTGCATGTTTCTGTTTGTTATGTGTTGGTGTTTATTTTTCTAGGTGATGAATTTTTTTTCGGAACCACTTCCATTGTAGTTCTGATGGGTTGAATTTTTTGTTCTTGTATTAGCATGGTTTCTATCTAGCAATGCCCCTTTCAACTGCAAAGGTTTTAGCATTATATGTGCATCCATATGCATGGTAAGCCACCCTCTCTCTCTCTCTCTCTCTCTCTCTCTCTCTCTCTCTCTCTCTCTCTCTCTCATGTTCTTTAATGATTAACATGCATGCTAATCTAATCTGGTCATGACCAGATGGTTGCCTTTTGCATTGCTTGCAAGCTTAAACCGGTCGAACGCTCTCCAGAGGACATTGAAACACCACTACTAACTGATAGTTAATCCTATTTCTGCATCCCAAGCTCTGCATTGGTGGAAACTTCATGTACCGAATCTTCCAAAGGAAAATATTAGATAGAAATGATAAAAATTTAGTGTAGAACCCATGTAGGTTCCACTCTATGTGTTGTGTTTAGAAGTCAAGTTAGATAGAAATGCTCTCCACCAAATAGTTTGTGTAGTCCTTGGGCGGATATTGTAAATATTTTGTTGTTGTGGGGATATTGTAAATATTTTGCATCCTTGAGTAAACTGAGTACTTTTTCCCCAAAAACATTTGTCCACTATAATGTCAAATGTCCAACCAAAGGCCAACGCAATCCCAATCCTATCAAATTTAGTTCAACATGCTCGGTTACAACATTAGAATTTGACCACCAATATTTTAAAGGGAATCTAGTGAAACAAAACAATTAGCTCTCAAGTAAACCCACAATATTTTCAAAAATACGAAAAACCCCCTTTTCTTTAGCACCAAAGACATGCAAGTCCTAGGGCTCTTTCCTCCACCAGCATCAACATGTGAAGAGACCAGACTAATGTTTGAAGATTTTGTCTCTGTCCAACAGTTGTTATTGCACAACGATAGTGCCAGCAGTAATGTTTTGTTTGTTTGTACATATTTTTGAGTGCATTTTGTCTTAAAATGCTTGTGAATTCGTTTGTTTTGCATCAGTTTGCATGTGAAGTATGTGTCAATTGTGTATGTCTTTTTCTCTTTCATTTTTGGTTTTTTTAGTAGACTTCTTGTCCAAAACAGGGAAATATTTTTATAATTATGTTATTATCTTACTAAACTGACGATCAATACTTTGTTTGAGCACTTGGTCATGTTTGATATTTGCCATAACAATAACTGGATGTCTGTCAGGGAACCTCTGAGTTTTGCTCCATAGCCCTTTAAGTTGGCGTCTTTGCAGTTCCATGTTCAAGGCATGGTGTTTGGTTGTTATTTTGGCCTTTAGAAACCTTGACCGAGACGACCGCAGAAAAATATGGTATCAAAGCTTTAGTTTAGCACCTTAATGATATAATTGTAAACGTAAAGTACCTTGAAGATAGAAGTCAATCAACACAACTGATAAAAAACCAACGTTTCATAAGATGTTAAAATTTTGTTAATTATCATAATCACTAGTTAAGAACAATAAACTTTTTGCACGTTTGGCCCTTGGTGGACACCTATTAGAATAAAAGAAAGGTTACAAGAATTAAAAAGACAGAAAGTTGAATACCAAGTAGAATTTGGAATGAATGGCAAAAACACCCTAGGAAACTAGATGTGTCCATAGGAGCAAGAATACAATCAGAATGTAGTCAAATAAAAGCAAAAAGACAAATTAGAAAATAGTTTTACATGAGTTGTAAAAATATAGATTTACCTAAACAATATGGATGTCATAGAAAATATACGCAGAAAAAGCTATATAAAAAGAGTTATAGAAAATATAGACCTTATAAACAACAACATAAAAATTTTAGAATTCAACCTTAAAAAACTTAGAAATTTTTTTTATCCCTAAACAATTTAGAAAAAGAAGAAATAAACCGTGGATTAGAAAATATAAAATACCCAATAAATGTACATGTAAATGTTATCTTTGTGGTGAAGTAGGACATACTAGACCTAAGTGTCCCAAATTAGGAAAGCAACCTAGATAAAAAATACAATTAATTGAGCAATTTTAATTAGAAAATGATGAAGACTTAGAATCAATTTGTAGTCTTGATGATAATTTAAGTAATAATGAAAGTATTTATAGTGTTAATGCCTTAGACTCAGAATCAGATTATTCTAGTAATTCAGATAGTGAGTTAGATGATTATATGTGTATGTTTGAAGAACAAAAAGAACATGAAGAATTTAAATATTTGATTTAAGATGTCCTCAAGAATGTAATTAATGTAAGAAAATAGTAATAGAAAAATATTACACGAAGACAATAGTTTATTGTAAACCTTGTTATAATAATAGACCAATAAAATAAATATAGCTGAAATAATAGATAACAATAATCAAAAGAATAATAGCCCTAACATAGAGAAACAAAAGACTAGTTCATTAATAACAATTAATTGTGAGTTAGAATTGTCAAAAATCATAAAATTCAAACAATGACTATGATAGATACAGGTAGCACAAAAAATGTAATAAAAGAATAGCCAGTGCCAAAACAGTTTAGGCAAAAATTAGCTAGATCAGTAAGAATAATACAGTTTGATACAAGACCTGTATATTTAACACATTGTATTAATAATATACCAATTAGGATAGAAAGACAACAGTTTAACTTACTTTTGACCTTTATGTTAGATATATGTCCTAGAAGCCAATAAAAAAATGGATAATTCTAATGAAATAATATATAATAATCAAAGGGGCAAGAACGTTACTTTAGATACATAACGTACACAAAGTAACAAGTCCATGGATTAAGATATAAATGGAAAGTGGTCTAAAGAAGTTAGATGCACGAGACCTTTCCATACATATAAATATCGAATCCTAAATTGTTCCTAGTCATAGGATCACCAATTGGACAATGGTGACCCGCAAAGACTGGTACGCATTGTGTTTGCTCAATTGGGAGGATGACTAGTCTCAATTCATTCGTGTAGAGACACTAGACAAATGTGTAGGTGCTCTATAGAAGATGGAGTCCACTGAACACGATCAACTCTAGAATTTTTGTATGGAAGTCTTACTCAAAAGTGTCAAACAAAGAATTCTAAGTTGTGATAATGCAAATTAATCCTTAGACTTGAGACATCACAGTTGTCTTGTGTATATGTTGTTTCTCTTTGAGAGCACTATACGGTCGTATCTAAATGATGTGACTTAAAGGTGTTCCTCAGGATTCTCAGCGTGTACGCATAGATAGGTGAATGTACAACAAGGAATATTTGCTTTTAGTGAGAAGATAGAATACTGTAAAGATATGATTCGTGAATCTTTGGCCAAAGTATTGGATGCAAATTGAAACAAGAACGTTTGCAATTTCATCAAATTGAATCATATAATCTAGAGATGTCATATTAGGGATTTTGCCACAAGTTTATCATATCTCGAGAATATGACATAGAGTATTGAATTAGAGAAGGATCGAATTGCATTGTAATCACAAACTGACTAGGTTCTCTAAATAAATTCTTTTTAGCTTGGGTAGCCATAACATACTGCTAGGTGTCACTCATGGCTTGTGTAAGCCCTGTAAGGACTAATTATAATTAGTCTTTGCCAATAGGGAAAATTGTATGGAGCGATACAATTCACACTTGATTCATAGTGAATCATTCATACTCACTGCCTCGCTAATTAGAACCTATAAAATTGCACACCGAAAAAGAATCGATTGGGAAATTATGAAGAGAATGAATGATTTTGTGACTTGGTCAAAGTCAATGTGAAAGTCAAAGTCAAAAGTCAAAGGTCAAATGGTTGACCTGACACTTGACACGGTCAACTAAGGATGACCGGGACCAACACTCGTTAGACAAGTGAGTGATTGAATTAGTCAAGTCACTAGAGTAATTAAATTGATTAGATTAATTTAATTATTCAATTTAAGTTATGAAACTTTAATTAAATGTCTCATATGACTTGGAAATTCAAAAGGTATTTGACCATATGGACTTAGGCACATATGTGACACATTATAGGATTAATGTGTTGGACCAAGATAGCAAAAGATGACACACAAAAAAGGGGGGTAGGGGTGTGGCTACACTAGGGTTTGGGGGCATTTTTGTCACTCTTGTGACATTTTTGATCCTATAAGTGTGTAGCTATGAAATCCTATCATTCTAGGGTTTTCAAGTTGGTGAAATTGGAAGAGAGAAAACATCAAGCTCTCTCTCCCTAATCCCTTCAATATATCACATCAAGTGAGGGTGCTAGCACCACTATTTATTTGTTGTCTACTCATTCTCTTATCCCACACAAGTTTAACTCAAAAACATAACCAAATCATAAGCTAGAAGGGTACAAAATGATATACAATTATGAACCGATCAATATCTTTGTACCTATTTGGAGAGCTACAAGGTGGAGAATCAACATTAAAGGGAGATCCAACAACAAAGGGACCACTCCCTCTACTTGAACATTATTCTTGGTTTCAAGGTTCGCTCCAAGGGTATGAACATCTTATCTTTATCTCAAATAGGATTTAGAGAGTCTTTGGTGCACACTTTCATAGACTTATAATGATTGGGACCAAATGAGGGTCTTTTGATTTCATATTAGATATGGCTTGCTAGGTGATTTATACTCTCAAAGTTTGGTTGGAGAGTTTCTAGAAATCTTTACACAACACCATTCCCACAATATTCCCTTCACTTTATATCCCTAGTAGAATCATATCCCTTTATCTTAGGATTAAATTTCTTAAAAACAAGGAGGATTTTTGTATAAACCTCCAAAAATTACATTTTTTAAGAAAGGCATAATCACAACTGATCAAAGTAATAAATTAGAGTCTTACAATAGTATTAACATAGAAAAATAAAATTTTAAATACTATAATATGGAAGAATTAGAAGAAATAAATGAACAAAAGATAGATGAACAAAATAATTTAGAATATGATGATATAATATTTGACCATGAGTATCCAATTGTAGGAGAAATAGAGCCTTTAGCAATTATGCAAATAGATAAAGCAAAGACCTTAGAAGAATTATTACAATTAGCTGAACAAACTAGAATTATAGGAGAAGATCCCCAATTACATTGGAATAAGAATAAGACATTAGCAAAATTAGACATTATTTATCCATACTTAACAATTAAAATAGCAGATATGCCATGTAACTTGTTCGATAAGCAAGAATTTGAACAAAAAATAAAAGAGCTTTTAAATCTAAAAGTAATTAGACCTTCAAAATCTAGGCATATATCATCAGCCTTTGTAGTTAGAAAACACTCAGAGCTTAAAAGAGGTAAAACTAGAATATTGTATAATTATAGGAGATTAATTGATAACGCTTATGAAGATAGTTATAAATTACCAAATAAAAAGATGAACTTATGAATAAAATTCAAAAAAGTAAATATTTTAGTAAATTTGATTGTAAATTAGGATTTTGGCAAATTAGACTTGCAAAAGAATCAACCCAATGTAGATCATTCACTTGTCTCGAAGGACATTTTGAATGGCTACATTAAAGAATGCACCATCGATCTTTCGAAGAAAGATGGACCAAATTTTTAAGAAGTATGATAATTTTTGTAGTATATATGTGGATGATATACTTGTTCATAGTAAAAATAAA